GGCATAAAAAAGGAGGGAAAGATGGATCTCACAATGCGACCAATTAGCACTCTCCATTTTTAACAAACAACAAAGAAAACAAAAGAAAGAAAAAAAAAAGAGAGAGAACAACAACAGAAAACGTATCGAAGAAAACGAGATTTTCGGACAAGGCTCGTCTCCAACTTACAGCGTAGCCTTTTTTGTAACAGACAGACAGTTCTTGTACCACCCTCGCTGCTGTAGCCTGCAATGTCGTGGAACAAGGGAAAGTGATGAAGGGGAAGCTAGACTGTAGGATTAAGATGTAGTGACCCGCGTTCAGTGCTTAGGCTGCGTCACATCAACTACCAGGTGCACAACATGGGGAATAACACTCGACTGGTGATTAATAATAATGATAATAATAATGATAATAACTAAAATAAAATAAGAAAACACAAGGCTATTTGGTGTGTGTTCAAAGCACAATTAGAGTGCAAATATTTAACGTAGATAGCTTGTAAATAATGCAAAAAATTCTTATGGGGTTCAGGTGCAACTGTGTCACAAAGATTACACGCTTTAGAATAACAAAACAACAGAAACAAAACAAAGTGCTACCTTTCAGTAACATAATCTATATCTATTATAGATCTGAAACGGAAAAGTCATTAAAAATAATATATATACACTTATACTGGATCATACTGCTACACTGATGCGTTCTACGATTATAAATAAGCTCATATTTGACATTTACACCGAAAGGCAAAATACCACCTGTCTTAAAAGGTGTTTTTGATCATCCAATTCTAGCCAAAAAAAGGGGGGGGGGAGAGGGAGGGGAGTAGGAAAACCAATTCTCTCTTTTTTATCATTCTCCTTTTCTTAAATATCAGGGACTCTTGGTTCTTTAAGCAAACGAAGGGAGGCTATAACGAAGTGGAAATAACACAGATTTTTTTCTTAAATTTCTTTTACTTCAATAAACTGCTCCTAAGGTCATCTTTGGTCCTGGATTGGGTCGATAATTCTTTTCTGACCTCGTAATGCATAAGATGGAGCGTTTTTCCGATAAATCAACTTGTGGCCCTTTGCTCCCTCCCCCTGCGTCTCCTACTCTTTTCTTCTTCTTCTTCTCCTTTTCCTTCTCCTCCTTCTCCTCCTGTACTAGCTCTACTTCTTCCTTCTCCTTTTCCTCCTCCTCCCTCCACCATTCCCCCTTCCCCTCCCCTCCTCTTTTCTGCTCTTCCATCTCCTTCCTCCTCCTCCTCCTCCTCCTCCTCCTCCATTTCCTCTTCCTTCTCCTTCTTCTTTTCCTCCTCTTAATCCTCCTTCTCCTTCTCCTCCTCCTCCTTTCCCCAATAATTCTGGATGATAATTCTACACACATCGAGCCATAAACACTGTTGTATGAGACGCCGACCTCTTATCCCAAGAGTTGAGCATCCAATTAAAGTCTACGGGGAAAGAACGATCATTTCACTACCTGCCTGTTTCTATGAGCGAAGCCAAAACACAATGTAATGCCCTATTAGTATCTCTCTCATGAAACGTCACTAGAATTGCTTCCATTTACGTTCCAGTGCCCATTTCCGTGGCTCACAAACTTCAAACATTTTCATAAATATATTCAGAAGCCTCAGAGAACTTGCGCATATGTAAAGAACGCAAGCACCGTCTTCTAACTAGAATAATTCAACACCAAAGACGTTTTCTAGTACCTTTTCTTAGAGAGCCACATCCCCTCCTTTACTTTAACTTTCTTTCGGTTTCTCCTAAAACAGGAAAATATCTTCAGTAGGTTAGAACTGAACAAACTTCTACACAGAAACAATTAACGGATCGGTCCTGCAAGGGAGATTCCTTTCCAAAGCAATTCTCAACCGTAACTTTACCATTTCACTGTTTTTTTACCAGTTTTTGTTTACTTTTGCCTAGTATTTCCAACCATCACCTCACCAAATAAAACATTACAAAATTTATACGAGAAGTTTCTTAAACTAGTTTCGACTTATCAAATAACTTGAAAAAAACAAAATATACTTTGAATACCTCTCTTAACTACCACCAATAGATCCCATTCGTATTCATACCAATACCCAACATATTTTACTGCCCCCCTCCCCCTTTCCTATCCCTACCCTTCAAACCCACGACCTACTTACCAACAAATCTCTTAAGTAGGAAAAAAAAAAAAAAAAAAAAAAAAAAAAAAGCGAGAAACAACACACACCGGCCACACACTCGAAATTAAATAATCACCACTCGTAAAATAAATAATAATCACAACAATAACACACAAACTCACACGGCGGAAGCAAAGCGAACGCGAAGAGACAACATACCATTGGTGTGCCGATTGCGGTCAAGAAGCTCCGGGGCCGTACTTGGCGTAGGGTTGCCTTCCCACCGGTCGCACGGCTGCTCTCACGGTCACGTTTCCGGAGATGGGCGCCCCCGAGCTGTAGTTGGCGACCACCACGCCCTCGAGGTAGTTGGCGTCCGCTGAGAGGAAGGACGGAACCCGGACTTCGACCTGAGGGGAAAGATAAGGAAAAGTATGGATGGAGAGGTAAGATAAGGTAGGAATTTGTGGATAACACTTTGGTTTAATTCTTATTTTTTTTGTCTTTTGTCTTTTGACTCTCTTATTATTATTTTCTTTAGTTTCGTTTTTATTTTGTTGCTGCTGCTGTTGTTTGTCGTTTGTCTGTTTGTTAGTGAATGACTGTGTATATGTAAAATTTGAAGTGCGTCTGCGACTCTAACCATATAAAACGCTGACATCTCAATAAAGAATAACAATAAGCAACACACAATAATAAAAGAAGTGATAACTCTTTGAATATGTGTGTTGATATTTACGAAACATTTAAAGGTTTCTGTGACAAGGTAAGAGTCTAGTAAAACGAAAAATAAATACACAAATCAGTAAATAAATAAATAAAAACTAAAATAAACAGCTTGAAACAATTAAATAAATATACTTAACATACACTGATATATAAAACAAATCCGTATATACGGTGGGAGATAAGCAAACAAGTAAAGAGAGATATAAGGAAGAGAGCAAATGAATAATTGAATTGATAAATCCGCAGGACGAAATACTCCCGAAATGTCTACATTTAGGATTCCCGTATTTTAGCCCCCCCGCCCCCCCCCCCCCCTGGCCAAACTAATTCACGCTCGGGCACGTACTGAGTGTTGACCTTTATGACCTTACATATAAACTGTTTTTTTTTTTTATTCTCTCTCTCTCTATCTCTTCTCTGTCTCTCTGTCTCTCTGTCTCTCTCTGTCTGTCTGTCTTTCTCTCTCTCTCTCTCTGTCTTTCTCTCTCTCTCTCTGTCTCTCTTCTGTCTGTCCTGTTCTTTCTCTCTCTCTTCTCTCTCTCTCTCTCTCTCTCTCTCTCTCCTCCTCATCTCTCTCTCTCTCTCTCTCTCTCTCTCTCTCTCTCTCTCTTCTCTCTCTCTCTCTCTCTCTCTTCTCTCTCTCTCTCTCTCTTCTCTCTCTCTCTCTCTCTCTCTCTCTCTCTCTCTCTCTCTGTCTCTCTCTCTCTGCTCTGTCTCTCTCTCTGTCTCTCTCTCTGTCTGTCTCTCTCTGTCTGTCCTGTCTGTCTGTCTTCTGTCTCTGTCTGCTGTCTGTCTCTCTCTCTCTCTCTCTCTCTCTCTCTCTCTCTCTCCTCTCTCTCTCTCTCTCTCTTCTCTCTCTCTCTCTCTCTCTCTCTCTCTCTCTCTCTCTCTCTCTCTTCTTCTCTTATTTTTTTATTTTCTGCAACGTCATTAACCTTTCTTCTAAACCCGTTAAAAAGAAAAAAATCACTTTCCTCATTCCTTTTGCTCATTTGTAACTAACAGGCAAGGAGACTTTTGCAACTTCATAATCTGGAATGCAATATTTAATGAGGATTTTCTTGGCTTTGCAACACTGCGGTCACATTGCACACTTCACTAATACTTCAGAAAATGTCATCCAAGCCCCAAAGGAAAAATTCACAACCGAGAAACCACGAGAGGAAACCGCTGTTGTTGGAAGGAATAACACGAAATATAATTTCACATATTGATGGAGTCAGCTCTGCAACGCGAAAACCTAATTATTTGGGGTTTTGCAAACTTGATTTCGTTGATTCGTCAAACGTCGACATATTGGCAAACATTTGCGTTTCTGTTTGTTGTTGCTTGTTGTTGTTATTTTTTTGTTGTTTTTATTGCTGTTGTGTTGTGCTATTGCTGTTGTTGTTTGTGGTGATGATAATGATGTTATTTACTTTATTGTTATTGCTATTGTTGTTGATAATGTTGTTGCTGTTGCTGTTATTTATCATTGTTGTTACTTGTTGTGTTTGAGAAGAGAGAGAGAGGAGAGAGAGAGAGAGAGAGAGAGAGAGAGAGGAGAGAGAGAGGAGAGAGAGAAGAGAGAGAGGAGAGGAGAGAGAGAGAGAGGAGAGAGAGGAGAGAGGAGAGAGAAGAGAGAGAGAGAGAGAGGGGGGGGGAGACAGAGACAGACAAAGAGAGAGATGGACAGATAGATAATTAGATAACTGGATAAATGAATGAACAAAAGAACTATAAATATCATAACGGTAAGGGATAAAGTGGTTTATTGATAGAGTGATATGCAGATTCACGGAAAGACATATAAATAGATATGGAGATAAGCAGAGGAAGAGAAAATGAAAGGAAGAGGAAAAGAAATTGAAGTGGGGAGTAAAGAGAAGGAAGGGGGAGAGGAAAAGAGAACGGAGGAAGGTAGAATGGAGAAGAAAGGAAGGAGAAATAAAGAAGAGAGGTAAGAGAAAACGAGAGGGATGATAGGATGAAGGGAGAAGAAATAGAGCTGGAAGGGAGTAGAAAAGGAAGAGGAAGGAAGAAGGTGAGCAGAAAAAAATCAGGAAGAGAGGATAGGGGAAGGAAGGGAGGATGAATCAATAAGGAATGAAAAAGGAATGGAAGAGGAATGGATGAGAAAGGGAGGGAGAATCAAGTAGGAAGGGAGGAGGAAGGGAATAGAAGAAGAGGAGGAAGGAAGAAGGGAGAAAAGAGGCATCAAGTGAGAATAGAGAAGGAAGCGAATAGAATAAGACAAAGAAGGGGGATGGAAGGGAGAAAAGTCAACAAAAAAGGAAGGAGAAATGGAATAGAAAAAAAAGAGGAAGGATTAAAGGGATGAATAATCAAGTATGGTGGAAAGAGGAAGGAATAAAGGGTGAAATAATCAAGTAAGAAGGAAGAAGGAAGAGATAAAGGGGAGGAAGAACCAGCAAGGAAGGGAGGAGGAAGGAACAGCCCCGCATGCACACACACACTAATAAGGAGAAAGCCTGACTCATGGCAGCCTGTGTCACGCAAGTCTAGGGAGTGTGCACGCCTGATTACAGACGAGGCGCCCATCTATTACTTCCCCCTCCCTTCCCCCTTCCCCTTTCTTCCTTGGCGTCCCCTCCCTCCTTCCCATCCTCCCCTCCCCTCCCTCCTTTCCTTCTTCCTAAGCGTCTCCTCCTCTCCCCCCTCCCTCCACTCCCTGCCTCCCCTCCTTCCCTCCCTTCTCCCTAAGCGTCCTCTCCTCCCTCCCTCCCACCCTGCCCTCCCCTCCCTCCCTCCCCCTCTTTCCCTTCCTCCCCTCCCTCCCTGCCCTCCCCTTCCCACACGCCAAATCTGTCTTATTGTTCTTTCTTCCCAACCCTTCTTCTCCCTGTATGACTCTCCCCTCTTTGCGTTCCCTTTCACTCCCTCCCTTCTCCCCTTACGGTGTTTGCTCTGTTCTCCCTGTTTCCCAGAATTACTCACTCTGCCTCCCTTTCACTTCCTCTCTTCTCACCTCATGCATATTCTCTCACCTTCTCTCTGTTTCTCTTATCCTCCAAAAATTACTCTCTATTTCTCCCTCTTTTTCCCCCTTCCCGCCCGTTTACTTGCCTAGATACTCCCTTTTACTCCAAATAATACATCTTCCCTTTTTATGCATCATTTGTTCCTTTCCTTAACCCTCCTCCCCCCTCCAATACGTTCAGTCTCCCTTCCCCCCCTCTCCTCATATCACCCCGACCCCCCCTTGATCCCTTCCTCTCCCTCCCATCCTCACGCCCTCCCCCGCTCTCTCCCTCCCCTCCCGCTTCCCCCGTCCTACCTCGGAATTCGTCCTCCTTTCCCTTCCCCTTCCCCCCTCGTACGCCTTTTCACCCCCGCCCACCCCCCACCCACGCCCACGCCCACGTCCACGCCCACGCCCACGTCCTCCGCCCGCAAAACATGCCTTCAGATTTTCCGAGAACAAGATCGTTAGCCTTTTATCCTTCCTTATGCATCGACTCGCCTGCGGGGTCGTCGCCTCCGTCGGCATTTTCTCCCCTCTCCTCCCTCTCTCCCCTCTCCTCTCCCTCCTTCTCCCTCCTTCCCTTTCTTTCTTGTCTTTTTTTTCCTTTTCTCTCTCGCTCTCTTCTCTCGGTCTCTCTCTCTCTCTCTTCTCTCTCTCTCTCTCTCTTCTCTTCTCTCTCTCTCTCTCTCTCTCTCTCTCTCTCTCTCTCTCTCTCTCTCTCTCTCTCTCTTCTCTCTCTTTTCTCTTCTCTCTCTCTCTCTCTCTCTCTCTCTCTCTCTCTTTCTCTCTCTCTCTCTCTCTCTCTCTCTCTCTCTCTCTCTCTCTCTCTCTCTCTCTCTCTCCTCTCTCTCTCTCCCTTTCTCCCTTTCTTCCCTTTCTCCTCTCTCCTCTCTCTCTCTCTCTCTCTCTCTCTCTCTCTCTCTCTCTCTTTCTCTTCTCTCTCTCTCTCTCTCTCTCTCTCTCTCTCTCTCTCTCTCTTCTCTCTTTCCTCTCTCTCTTTCACTAATTATCCTCCTCTTCCTCCTCCTCATCATCATCATCACCTCCTTTCCCTCTCATCTTCTCCCTTACCTACTCTCTCAATGTTTAGCTTCTCCTTCACCTCTTCTCCACCTTCCTCCGTCCTTCCTTTTCCTCCCTCTCACCCCCCCCCCCTCCATCTCCTAAACTCCCCTCTCCCCGTCTCCAACCACCCCCTCTTTTCTCTCTCCCTCTCCTCCTTCTCAACTCCTCCCCGTCTCCAACCTCCCCAGTGTCCTCTCTCTCCCTTTATTCTTCCCCCGTCTCCTTCTCTCTCTCTCCCTCTCACACTCTCCCCTTTTGCACCCCCCTCCACCCCTCTCTGTCTCCACTTTCCCCGTCTCCAAACCTCCCCCCTTTCACCCCCTCCGTCTTCAACCTTCCTCGTCTCATTCCCCCTCCTCTTTCCCCGTTTCCACCCCCCCCCCCCCGTCCCCTTCCCCACCCCGCGCAGTGCCACAGTGCCAGCAGGTTAGGTCGTGCGAGGAAGAAAATTGTGATTGTTGTGCCAGTTGCCCCTGAAATGGAGGGCAATCATGGGTCTCCCCCTCCCCCTTCCCTCTTACTTCTCTCCCTCCTTCCCTCCTCCCTTTCCTTCTTCATTTCCTCGCTTTCCTCCCTTCTTTCCTTTCTTACTCTCAGGCCGAACGCTCACCCTCATTCCCTTATTCTATTTGCTCCTTACATTCTAGTCTC